GAGTAGAGCTGCATGCCACCGAACAATCAGCCTTTTTACCATGTAATTCAAAGCGTGCAGAGCGCGCAGGGCCACAAACTGAGAATTTTTGGTTTGGCGGGTGGCCTTCGTGGCCAAGCGAGGCTGGAATTCTTGAAGTCGGCTTTCGGGAAGAAATTCCCGTCGTCAAGGGGTTAACATGCGAACATATCACATGCACATGTACTGAACATACATGTAATTCTGCGTAACTCTTCACATGGCAGTAAAAGTTGCCTGCAATTGGTTTCCATAATTCCTTGCACACATGCTCAAATGACCAAAATGTCTACATTTTATAAAGGGGTTGATGAAAACGTCCCAAAACAGGGAAAAGAACAAACATTGCAGACTTGCATGTACATGTGTGCGGGGAGTCTCGGATAGTACAGAGTACCATCAGCTTTTGTATGTTACCATACATGAATTTCCTGCTAAAAATATTCAGGCTCGAGGCAATTTCTGCAAGGTCGGAAAGATAATGTATCTGGACACATTATTTTATTCCATTTCATGCTAGTGTGTTTTCTGGATTTCTGTAGCTTCCCTCCAATCCCCCCACCGGAATTTTCAGCACGGTATGAAAATAATCGGTTTTGCATTGATTCAGTTTTTGTGTGAAGGGAATAAGGGTTTTTTTGGGGGGAGGAGATATGAATGTCTGTGATTTTTCTTCTAATAATTTGTAGGTGTCCTTTGTAATTTTGCTCCTTCTTGTTCTGCCCTCCTGTGAGGTGGGGAACTGCTTGTCGAGACTGTCTCCTAATTGAATCAGAGCTGCTCTTTGCGAGAAGAGCTCTGCTTTCTTTCCATTTTTCCCCCTCTGTTTGAATTGGCAGCTTTTGTCTGCTAACAGTGCGTGTCTTTGGAAGTTCTCAAGGAACTCCCTGCTTTTCCTGTGACCACTCTCAAGCGCGCCCTTTCCCCCATCAGCGTTCATATATGAAGCCAGTGGTGGCTTTTTGATTTCACGCAAAATATTGTTGAAGTTACCATTAAACCTGAATTCCTCAAAATGTAAATTTGTAAACGTTAGATTTTGATCAGAAAATTTGCCGACCTTTGCACCATAGGCATGCACATGTTGAAGCATTTGTATACAGGGGCAAATTTGGGGATTTCTTTTACAACCTCTTATTGTCCTTCTAAGGGTTGAAGTTATGTAAAGTTACACCCCCCCCGTAGTCTGTCTCCAGTCAGACTGATGTTCCAGAATTGATGCAGCGGCGCAGTTTTTTTTTTCTTTCCTCCAGGGTTGGATTTTACAGACAATGTCAGACACACGTTTTGAGTCACTGGATTAGACTTGCTCGTCGGGTGCCCGGCAGAAGGGTGTAAGTGCACTTACGGCCTCTTGCCGGGAAACATGATCACAGCAGAAAAAATGTTCCTGGTAAAGGGCGTAAGAAACGCACTGTCTTTATTTAGTGAACACGGATATAATTTACTACAAAATCAACCTGGGCTGTACAAAAAGCAACCTTTGAGCAACTTATTGAAGGATTTGGGAATTTTTCATTTTTACTTTTGGCCAAGAAACTTTTATATTTCATTAAAATAAAACAGTCGCATACATACATCCTTTTGCCAGGAAACGTTTTTTTTTACAGTGGTCATGCTTCCCAGCAGAACAGAAGGGCGTAAGCGCTTACGCCCTTCTGCCAGGCACACGACGAGCTCTATTGTGATTATAAGCTGACAACAACTTCGTATCCATGGTCTGCTAATATTGTTCAACGTCGATCTCATCAGGATCTATTGCCCTGTGTAAATGATCGAGCTGCTCGCAAAAATGTTGGAGCAGTGCAGCAATAGAGGGCACTGTTGCAGCTCTCGCAGAGAAGAAAAAAAAGATTGACATGCATGCTTGAAATTGATTCGCTCCCTGACCAGAGACGAAAGACTTGGGGGGGGCGGCCTTTGAGGCATTTTCCCCACATGCCTTTAGGTAGAATGGAATTGTCTTGTGCCCCACGGATTGCCTTTCTATCGTATTTCGAAAACAACCAAAACATTTTACTAGGGGAATGGAGAGGGAGCATGACCTTCCTTGGATCTGCTAGTAAACAGTCAGATTTTGTTTTGTTTTTTAACCCTCTTGGGTTCCCCCCCCAAAAAAAAAATCTAACCTGTCGATGCATAAGATTCTCCCAATCTTCCCCATTCCTGAGCAATCCAGTATTTCATTACCAGTGCTGGGTGTTTGTGAATTTCCATTCTACCCCCCCCAACTCACCCCTCGAGCACAGCCCTGTGTATGTACTGTGTTCCTGTATGCATGTATTACGCACCTGTCAAGTACCTGGTGCAAATGTATGAAGGCTATTCCTCATCCATGATTCAGAGGTCTGTGTATGTGTAGTTGTGTCTACACCATGTGCAGCACACCAGTGAGGACCGGTAGTCTGTGCATCAATCATTTCCTTTTATTGAAGGCATATTTACTCAAGGAATATTAAGCGAGGAGAATGCAACCACTGTTTGGGAACACACATACACCATCACCAGGCATATCAACATAAGTGTACATGTAGGTCTTGGGTCCAGGGAGAAGCAAAATGAAATTTTATCAGTAAAACAAAGTCTGGACCTCCTCTTCAAATTCCACTGATTTCAGCTCCACAGTTGTGGGGACCACACATCCGGAACAACAGTAATTATGCGGGCAAGTTAACTATGAGGACAAATTATTTCTCCTGGCAGCTCAGAAGCTAATTTCCCTACAGTTGTCCCCTCGATGCCAGTCCGGCCAGGGCAGCATTCATTACAGAGCAGCTGCTCACACACTGTCAGCAAAAATCCCATTCCCCCCCCCCCCGACACATCCAACATTCAATTTTGATACACCTATTAAACTCCACCCCCCCAGGAATTCCTCACTTTGCCCCTTCCCCAGAGAGAAACAATCCAATTTGTACAAAAAGAACGAGATGGCGCGAAACAGAAGTGTCATGGTTATTATTAAATCTCCATGTCCTCAAACTGCATTTTTTTCTTTTTCCTTTTTCTTGATCTCTCTGTCTCTCTGGGGGAAAAAAACCCATTGGCTGGATCCCGCGTGGCCGTGCCGTGGCTGCAGATGGTGAAGTACCAGCGGTCTTCCTTGAGCGGGGGTGACGAGCTCTCGGATCATGACCAGGCCACAGTTGCAGGTTTGCCCAACAGCCAGCCGGCAGCCCCCAGCAGCCAGCCGACATTGTCAGGAGTGGTGCGGGCGGGAAACGGCGGCAATCTCGGCAGGAGCACGATGGGGGAGAACAACTGCACCAAGGTAGGATGGCCGATGACGGATGTCAGTGCATTTTACACGGAAGAGTGAATATTCTTGGATGATTGAAATCCTATACTGTGTACAGCGTATGCTTAGGAAATTGGTGCATGTAAACACTTGTCCATTTTAAACCTGAAATATTAACTGGCAGTGTTTATAATTTGGCCCCCGGTGCAATGTTGTTGAAGAGGTCACTCGTTGCTTGCTGGTGCTTTTTATTACATGTGATTTGCTTTAGAGGAATTCAGCGATTTGCCCCATTATTGAAACAACAACAGTCAACAACAATGAGTTTGTACCATTTTTCAGAGAAGGAAAGCTTACTACTCCTTGACATGTTTCAACATCCCCTTTGAAATTAAATTGTTAAGGCCAAATGCACATTTCTGTTATTTCAATTAGGTTTAGAAATTAGACTAGACTGGCAGATTGAAATCTGCAATTCTGAGATAAGTTTCATTTTGAAAGGAGAGTCCGAGCTGCGTATGTTTGAGTAGATGTACAGTTAGCCTGTTCCGATGCTTTATGGACATCATGACTGATCTTCCTTGTGGTTTTTCCAACTCACTGACATGCTCCTAAGCACCAAACAGCCTGTTTTTCATCAGTCTCGTTGGGCTACATGCATGATTCAGTTGTTTAATTAAATTCATTGAAGCCATCTCAGGGGTCATCTTGCTGGACATATGCACACTTGCAAAGGCCCCTAGAAAAAGGGCCAGGAAGACAAATGACGTTGAATCCTGTTACAGTATTTGTCATTTGAATAACTTTATTTGTTTTACTGACAGTTTGATTCTGCACTTTCTGGTTGAAGACATTTATGTTGAATTGCACATACTGTACATGTCCATCAGAAAAAAAAGGCATGAAAAGGAAAGCCATTTTATTATAAATGGACCAATATTTATCCAAATAACAACACTGACATGCTAGTGGTTCTGCCAAGTTTAATTTAATGTAATCACACAGGTTTTTCCCCAGTAAGTATGGTCTGCACTACCCTTGGTGGGAATATTTATTTTGGAAGTACCATTGCCATTTAAAAAAAAATGAACACAATTACAAGTTGCCGCGTGCCTGGACGAAGGGCGTAAGCACTCATGCCATTTTGCTGGGAAGCACGATCACCTAAAAAAATTTCCCAGTAAAAGGACATATTTATGTAACTTTTATTTTAAGGAAATATAAAGATTTCTTTGCAAAATTTTTTTTTTACTTCCCAAATCGTTTTAGTTGTTCAAAGGTTGGTTTTTGTACAGCCTGTGTTGATTTTGTGATAAATTTTATCTATTTTTACTAAATAACAGACTGTGTTTCTTACATCCTTTTGCCGAGAACACTTTTCCTGGTGTAATCATGCTTTGCCGGACACACGATGAAATGGGGTCTGTGCATGTCTTTACAACTTTTGTTTTGCTTTTTATTTACTCCATAAGCAAAATTTCATTTTATCAATGGCACTCTTATTCAAATGCTTTCCTTTATATTAAACATAAATTTTATAACAAGTGAAATTTTTCCTAAACAGAAAGTATCACAGAGAGTTCCTTATTTATTAGAATGGAAAATATTTAAATGCAGTGGAAATATCTTTCACTGTAATTTTTTTCTGTTATCCTGGAAATTTCCACCTATGAGATTGGTCCTTGTCGGGATTCAGCTGAGACACCATATCTGAGGACCCGTCCCAGACTGAGGACTTTACTGTGCAGTGAGGACATTTATTTTACCAAGTATCATCTGAGGACACAAGTAATTCTTTGCTTCACTGCTTTTGTTCAGGTGCCAGATGTTCATTACAAAAACTCCAATTCCAACAACATCAAGTACGTTCGAGGGGAGATGGGCGGAGCTGCCGGGAAATTTGGAGGGCGGACGTTAATGGAGAAGATACTTGTGGTGCTCTGCGTGGTGCTCTTACTTCTAGTGCTCATCCTTGCCATCTTGTATGCAATTGAGAGCCAAGAAGGTTAGTTACCAGATTCATTCCTGTGCATTGTAACGGTACGCATACATGTAAGGTTTTAGTTGGCGTACATAGTACTGTACATAGCTACATGTATGTCCGAATTCCTTGGCTAGGGCCTGAAATTGTGCATGATCGAGCTTATGGTAAGTGGCTACAGCCAATTCCCATTTAGTTTTGTGTAAGTTTGAGCCATAGCCAAGTGAGTCAGACATACATGTAGCACCTGCGGCTGTGGCTCTATCTTCCATTTCACAAGAGGTACAGCTCTGATTTTTTGGAATTAAAAGAAGATATCAAGCTTTGTGTGACTAAGGGTTTCAAAGCGAGGAGAAATGTGGGGTCTGCCATGTCCGACACCGGAAGCTGAACTCTGAAGCCAAACCCAATGAGGTAGCCAGGCATTTGTAAACAACCTCAGAGAGGGATCAGCGCAGTTGGAATGGGGACGGCATTTTAGTACATTCATCATCAGTTTGTCGTACACGTGATTCACAAGTTTGTCTACGTTTATGGATTCACAAATCCATGGAGATCACAGCAGATGGTGTGCATTAACCCTAGCAAATGTCAGTTGGAATGTTTCAAGGCATCAAATTAATTCCCTCTGCAACTTATTAGTTGTTGGATATCCTAATGATAAATTGTTGGAAGATGTTACACATGTACATCTTGCCAATTTGTACTCATTCAAATGAAAATATATGTACATGCACTCCATGTCACACACAACTATGAATCAGCATGCACACACAATATGCTCTACAGAGGCTCCTGTGGCCACAGCTTATGTACACGTATACAGTGCCTTTTCTTTTCAAAACCCTGCAGTTCACAGTGTACGGTTCACAAGTTTCCATTTTGATATTAAAACTGAACTCATCTTTGGGCCCTGTGCTTGAATTGGTACACACTTCGTTGTGGTGCAGTTGGCAAAAATATGCATGTACTGTACACCTTTGATAAAACCTGTAATGTAGTTTGGTATTTTTTCTCTTAATCCCTCGTTTTCTCTCCTTTTTTTTTTCTTTTCTCTCCATCTGCTTCCCCGTTTTCCTTTATAAACTGAAAAGTAAAGTAAAGCATTTGGTCGGGGAGATCAGTGAAATCCTCAGAGCTACTGAATCACAAATCCCAATTGGGTCATACAGTATTCATGCACTCGTTGAAACTAATGATGCATAGCCAGCAGTCCCTTGACATACTGTACGTCGTGCATATGCTGGAGATCCATATCGTGGGAGTTGAGGCTCACACCCGCACATGTCCTTGCACTTTCAAATATACTCACCTTTTTACCGGATATTACCTGGGCAAAATGAAAAGTTCATTTCCTCTTTCTCCCTTTTCCAGAAGCTCCGTTGAATGTTCCATGTTGCGTTGTAACAGCTCGCTGTATAGGCACTGCCGTGAGGCAGCACAGGATTTTCTTTCTTGATTGCGCGCCACAAAACATTGATACTCCTTTTCCGGCAAGCTTTTTATGCTTGAAAGTATGTCACATTTATGAGAAAAAGCAGTTTGAGGGAGTATTGCCGGTGGATTTCAAGGTTTCTTAAATGACAAAATATACCCCTCGGTGTTGGTTTTTGAGATTAACCCATTTATTCTGATCAGGATTGGGTTTTGCACGCATGTAGCTAGCACAAAGTTTTCTAGCATTAACATCAAATGCATGGCTGCAGGACAGCACCGCACCACCTTGAAATTGGTGCTAGCGCTGATGGCTGAGCAGGGCCCACGGAGCCCTTTAAAATCTGGCCCTGGGAACATATACCCATGGGGTGCCCAAAGACGCCCAGACACTTATCTGGCTAACACTCTGGTGGGTACATTATGTGAGAAAAGAGACAAATCGCATTGACATCCCTTGCACAGGGATTGTCAGGACTCTGGCTTGCTATAGATTCATTAGAAGCTCTGTCCTGGCTCATTTTGTCAGGTTGGGCCACATATTTTAATTTCTTAACTTCGTCCCCCCCTCCAAAAAAAATCAAATTTCACTGGAGGAAATTGGCGGAGAAAAGCTAATCAAATATCCACGACTTCTGCACCAGACCCTGGGTAAATTTAGCAGTCGTGAATGGCTGGCGAGCGTATTACTCCTGCAGCCCGGAGAGCGAGTAAAAAAAAATGATTTGATTTATTCATTCAAGAGCACTTCGTAATTGAATTGGGGCACCAAGTGTGTTCCCAGGCCTGACTCCACCGGTGCATGCCGCCTTGTGACTTTCATTGTTCAAGATGCTAAAATGATATTAAAGTATAGTGCATTCATGACGGGTTTACTGCATTGAAAGTATCCAGCATACAGGTACATACATACCTGTGCAAAATTTGTACAAGCACGGTAAATGCTATGCATACAAACTTGTGCCACGAAAGCATTTCGTTTTGTCTCCTGCTTTTGTTTTTCTCTGCTTTGGTCATTTTTTGCCTTAAACACCCAACCATAACCAAGCGCCTTTCCCTTGGCATGGTGTTACCAACCAACCGTGTTCATGTACATGTCGATGTGCACCAGTTCTTGGCAGATTCTGATACTAGTAATATGATAGTATGTAGTACACGTAGGCACATGGGCTGTAATGCTTGAAGACTGTAACATTTTTTTGTTTAAAAGCAAAGAAGAACAGGGCTTAGCTGAGAAAATGCCTTCAAACTTTGCTAGTAATATGCATCACATATAAATGCAAAAATGTCAACATGTTCACAGAAGAACAGCCTCCACACTGTAGAGGAAGCACGTCTAAGAAGCATCATTACCAATTCCAAGTACCATACTGTTGTCTGGTTGGCTTGTTGGCTTTACCTTGAAAAGAGCAGGTCCATGTCCCGATCAGGTTACTTCTTGCAAAGAGTTGTTTTGGCACACTTTATTTATCCCCCATTTGTTTGTGCTGACACACATGGCGTCCAGCAGATCTTTGGGAAGCAAAAATATTCTGACCACCGTACTGAGCTGGCACTGCGACAAATATTGGCCCTCTTGGGGACCCTTGAGTGTCACAAAACTTTGATTTGAGGTTGTGAGAAGCACCATGCATATACATGTATGTACATGTACTGGTACATGTACATGCATGGGTAATTCCAGAACTTAGGGGTCCAAAAGTGTGACATTTTTGTGTTCCTGTTTGGAGGAAGGAGGGGATCTGACCTTTGTTATTTGACATGGAAATATCACCGGAATTGATTTCAAACTATAGATATTAGTTTGGCAGGTAATTTGCATTAATTCATCACTTTTGGTAATTAGAAAATGCATTCTGAACTTTCAAAATCAAATGTCAGACGTGACAAGGACACGAAAAAATAATGGACCCTTTATTTCTGGAATTACCCACATGCATGATAAAGATAGTTTTCAGCAGTCAGTGCATGTTTTTGTTGCACTGACTGTGTCATATCTGGCCAATTTATCCTGCCGTTTTTTCGAAATTTGGATCATCAGCCAGAAATAACACCATCGGCAAGTTGTTAAATTCTCAATCTGTCTCCAGCTTGTCTAGACATTTCCAGAACCCCCAAAAATAAAAGCAACCAACAAAGCAAAACAAAAATCCTCGTGGGTATCTAGCTATTTGCTCAGCTAAGTTTAAAACATGAACTAGGGTCCTCTGCCGTTCTTTTCCCCAGGGATGGTGTGGCTGAAAGAAATATATGACTTCATCGAGTGAACTGGAGCATCTCAGTTGGAGATTGCATGAGTGCAATCAGCTTAAATGGGGACTTTTTCCTCTTTTTTTTTTAAGATTGTAATGGTCCCTGCGAGTAAGCTATACAGTCATGTTAAGAGTTTATGACAGGGCCACCAATTCTCATGCATTAAGCATGAAACTCGTGCATTCCAGGTTATTCTCACATTTGACTTACCAAATGTGATTCCTCATGCTCAAAAATGAAATCAAATAAGAAATTCAAAGATTAAAAAAATATACATTACAAACCAGTGAAGACATTTGCACGTGAGTTTCTGCTCAATAGTGACCCATATAATTGGCAGTTGATGCACAAGGTAAACAGCCAATCATCTGTTAAAAGCTAAAAAGGTGGAAAACTCACACACTGTCCTGCAATTGCTCTTTTTTTCTCACCAAATCTCTTGTCTCAATTCTTACTCAATGTTGGGCATATTTGAGCAACGAGAGACGGACTGCCAGTATGTCTGAAACAATGGACGGGTACTCAACCATTTGGAACCATGAGCCCCCAGGACACATTAAAACTCGCTGATAATCAAGAGCATTTTCTAAAAATTTAGTACAGAGGGGACCATTTCCTTATCAACAAAATTTTACTCGATGTGCTTTATCCTACTCGACTGTGTAATTTTATCAACATTTTTATATTTGTAAAAGTTTTTTGTGAAACAAGTGGAAATAAACCAATAATGATAACAACGTTTTGAATGTTTAATTCGACAGAAGTCTTCCACCCCCGCCTTACATTCTGTAACTTTATTTCCGCCCCCACTGTCCATCTCCTGTTTCCTGCCCCCACATGGGAGAAAGGAAAGTGCGTTTAATGGCCCGCAAAATTCAAAGTAAATTCAATCCCTGTTACATAAAGGCATAAATCGTCCTTAACATGTAAATGAGATTAAAGGTATAAAAAAGTAATTGTAATGCTCAAGCCAAGACCTGTCATAAAACTTGGAAAATCCGACCATTTGCCAACTAGGTGTCCTGAGAGCTTTGCGGTGAACTAAATCAATATTTAAAAGAATCAGAGAAGAAAAGGATAGCCTGTGTACTTAGAAAAAAAAAGGAATAAAAGTAAGTGTTTCGTGAGTGGGTTATATGGTGATTCATTAAATTTGTGAAATGTACTGCGCGTATAAGGGCTTAATGTGCCATTACGTCTGAGGCTGAAGAGGACATAAATATGGCAAATGGTGTTTGAACAAGGCGAGAGACGTGGATGGGCCCAGATTAATGCCCACCGTACACCAACTTGACGCTTGCCCGTGTGTCGGTATTATACATGCTAAGGGCTGAGTA